TTTCTGTTTTCTAGTACTCCTATAAACTTAAAAGGAAAGGTTGAAAATTGATACATGTTAGAAGAAAAAGAGATTATTGTAAGATTTTTTATATTACTTGTCACTGTCATTATTCCATCATCATCTGTGGATTTTCATGGAGACTCAAAACTCAGTTTAGAAATAATAAAACAGAGAGAATTACGTTAACAGAAAACATCAGTTTGTAAGGAAAAACTCTTTGAACAATTGAGTTGATATAATGTCATTTCAGAAAAGTAATTTGATTATGCATCTCTCTCTTGCTTTTAATTAACAAGTTGTATCATCACCATCTACCATATTAATATATGTAACTGATACAAGGAAAGAAGAAGAAGAAATCAATAAACATACTTTTCGTTTATCTGCATGTAATACATTTAAAATTGCAGAAAGTTGGAAGAAGTGAACAAAATGGTTAAGCAAATGAACTGAAGCATTAAAGAATACAAATAAAGGAAATATTAAAATATCATTCTAAGTGGATCAATCGGTTAATAGATCGAATATCGGAGAATAATTAAAAAATACCATTCTAAGTTGCAATAAGCACTAGAAACCGAAGACAAAAGCTCTTCTTATCCTTTCTTCTGGAGCTAAGCAGGGAAATTTGTGAAGAGGTACGGGTGAAAGGGGAAAAAGTATCATGGCATAAACTGATTTGATTCTCTCTACACATTCCGAAACATATTATGATTGCTTGGATGGCTCTCTTGAACAGACTTCCAACAAGGGGCAGACTTCAAAGAATGGGGATTGTAACTAATGGTAATTGTGTTATCTGCAGCAAAGCACAAGAGACAAGGGACCACTTGTTCTTACAGTGCCCCTTGGATGTTTCTTTATGGGATTCCATTTTGTTCCTTAACGGGTTGAGGAGTACCACTTTGTCATGGGGATATGTTATCATGGGCTTGTGGTGCTTGGAACGGTAAGTCCCTTCTCACAACTATTTTGAAGTTAGTTTGGGTGTGCAAATATATATACCCTGTGGAGCAAAGCACAAGAGACAAGGGACCACTTGTTCTTACAGTGCCCCTTGGATGTTTCTTTATGGGATTCCATTTTGTTCCTTAACGGGTTGAGGAGTACCACTTTGTCATGGGGATATGTTATCATGGGCTTGTGGTGCTTGGAAAGGTAAGTCCCTTCTCACAACTATTTTGAAGTTAGTTTGGTGTGCAAATATATATACCCTGTGGGAGGAAAGAAATCGAAGAATGCTCCAAGGATACTCCAGAACAACTGAAGAGATTCTTAAAGTTATTAAGGAGATTGCAGGTATTCAATTAAGGGAAAGAAATATTAACAGATTAGATAGTGTTAATATTAATCTTTTGTAATATTTGGGTATAGTCTTACCGATCATTTGATTTTTTAAGTAGTTTGTTCATATGGGTTTAGGTTGGTGATTGGTTTTTTTTAGCAGAACTTTGGGTAATAAAATTTGAATTATTAAAAAAAAACCACTAGAAACCGCATGCACAAAGACTATTATTGGTAGGAAATACCGAGTGGGAGATGGGTATCGTCATGCCTCCAATTGTAAAGTAGGATTTGTGTATGATGTTAAACCAGGCTAAATTCAAACGTATTTATAAACAAAGTTGCTTAAATTCTGATCATTTAAGAGAAATTTCATTCTTTTTATCACTGAATTTACTCTTTAGATTCTTAGATTTGATAATATTAAAAGCATAAAACAGTACATAAAATTATCAATATGTATATACCATGAATTATTGACGTACAATATTAACAAACAAAAGAGTTACACCGCCTAGGGCGAGTAAAACTCGATTCAACTTGAAAAATCATATTTTTTACTTGATTCAATTCGAATCGAATTGACTTTGAGTTGTAATTTTATAAACTCGGCTCGACTCGAAAAATTTCAAGTTCAAATCAAATTATAAAATATAACTCGAATAACCCTAATAACTCAAAACTTTTAGTAATGAGTGGATTGATTTTTAAGCTTCTGCATGATATGCGTATATCACATATGAAAAAATATGAAGATATATATATATATATATATTATACGGTTATAAAAAATTATTTAAATTGAAATAAAATAATAATATAATATTATAAATATTTACAATCAAAATTTAAAAAAAACTTGAAATTTTAACTTGTCTCGAAAATTTTTTAAGTCTACTTTAAATTATAAAATAAAATTTATCAACTTAAATAACTTAAAATAATTTTACTCGATTAGATCGGATGCTTACTAAAGCTTCAGCCTTTCGCACCTGTCTCCGTGTCTTGTGAAAAATCAAAAAGAAAATTGGTTAATATTGGAAAATGTAGGTGCCCCACTTTCATGTTTCAATCATGGTTAGTCCACAGTGTAAAAGTACTCTCTGTTACAATAATTTCTCTCAGCACTACGCATTTCGTGAAGTCGAAGTTTCCTACAAGCTTCAACACTTTTGTCTGAAGTTCTATTAGCATAGCCATGTCACAACACGAGTCATTGCTAATGCCAGATTCTTACAAGGACTTTGTGTTGGATCAAACAAGTAATAAGACACTCAAGCTCATGCTTTTATTGATGTAATGAAAAGCCATTATGTTTTTTTTTGTGTTAACATGAATTTACTAACTGCCTTTTGAACTTTCAAACACGTGAAATACTCAAAGATGATATAAATTACAGATGGTTAAGCTTAGGATCCCCTTTAGTCTCTTCGGGCACATGAAGAAAAAGCTTTGGTTAGGTCAACTTTTGATGAAGAATACTAAGTAAAAATTTAGACCTGTTTAGGATTAGTTAAAAGTTGTGTTTTAGTTTATCATAGAAAAAAAAATGTTGTGCCTGATCTTAATGGTTAATAAAATATTGTTCTCTCTTGAGATTTTATATTCGAATAGTTGTATCTGTAGGATATGTACACGTTACCAATGATTTGAAAAGATCATTAACATATATTTTATAATCACATAAACCTATTAAAAAAAAGGAAGTATTTTACTATACTTATAAATTAAAATTTGTTGGATGCATCATTCTTTGATTGGAATCAGGGAGAATGTATTATTATTGTGTTCATGTATGATATTATTTTCTAGTAGATTCATTTATTATGGATTTGATTAATTTATATAACACTATTTTCTAGGACACACGATAATGTTAAAATTTCGCTTCTGGTGTATCCGTTTTCACTGAAAATATATGGAATAATAACCCATAAAATTATTTATTTTTATTTTAATAATAAATAGCACAATATTTTTTTTTGGTGTTCTTCTTAATTTTAAGATTTCGTTTTAACTAATTTAAATTATTTTGTATCGTACATCTAATTTTAATGGATAAATCTTTTAATAAAATTATTTTGCGTACACAATTACTCGATTACTCGTTGCTTAAGCGATAGCACAAGATTTTAAAGTAACAAAATTATTATTCTATACATGGGAAGTGGAAAAAAATAACTCACTAGCGTGATTTTAAGGTTGCTATGTATTTTATTTAGGATTTAAGTATTAGAACTTTAGATTTTAAGATTTATGATTTTTTAAATTTAAAATCTAAAATTTAAGATAAACTATACATTTAGTATATAAACTATTATTTTTATCTCGTTTTGATATCTAAACTTTCATTTTTTTTAAATCATACCTAACGTACATCTTTTGTTTCGTTTTGGAACGAAACTGTTGTATGTGACACTTTTTTATGAGTAAATTACATCATTCATTACTAAACTATATTCTAAGTCTTATTTTGGTCATTGAATTTTAATTTTTTAATTTAATTACTTAATTTTTAAATTACTCCTAATTTAATCTTCTAACTTTTAAAATTATTTTTTATATTTTATATATTAATAAAATAATAGTTAAAAAATGTCATGTCATAAAAATTATTAATAAAATAAATTAGAGTGATTAGAACAAACACAATTTTTGAAAAAAAAATAAACGACAAGATACCAGAATGAAACCTAAACTAAACGTTAGGTATGGTTTTGCAAAAAAATTAAAGTTTAGGTATTAAAATGGAATATAAATAATTGTTTAAATACTAAATGTGTATTTACTTTAAAATTTAATATATATATTTTTTGAATAGAATAGAGTTTAATATTATGTTTCAATGATTAAAATATTTAAGTAGAACACATAAAATTATTAAAATCTCGCTTATGAAATGTTTTGTTTTCGCTGTTATTACATAGAATAATAACCTATTAACATATATCTCATTCAAGAGTTGATTTCTTTTTATAGTATATATGTACACAAATCTTTTGAATATCCATGTTCAAATTGTTTGAATTTTCAAGATGAGATTATAAGAAAAATAATTTAAATTCTAATATAAATAGTAAAATAAATATTTAAAAATAAAAAATAATAACGAAAAGGTATTGAATTGGGTGAAATTATTAATAACATCTTTGATTTTGGCTGGTGTAGTACAACAATTTTAGTTCGTAGAAGTAAAATTGATATCTAATCCTTAAACTCAAATTTTGGGCTTAAGAATGAACAGTCCAATCGAATTTTAGAGATCTTAAGTTCGAATAATTATATATAGGTAAAAAATATGTGTATCGTCAATTGTAATCACTTCAAACTATTGAAAAAACGAATAAAATAACATAAATAAAATAATTATAATGAAAAAGATAAATTACGATATTCACCAAATTATCATTTTAATTTCATTTGTCTCTTAACTATTTTTTAAATTATATCTAATATCATGTCTTAATTTTATTTTAATCATTTACCATTAAAAATAAACAAAACTACTTACCATATATATATATATATATATATATATTAATGATGACAAGTTAATATCACTATTAATTTTTTAATGATAAATGATTAAAATATAATCAAAACATAACATTAAATATAATTTAAAAAAATTAATAGTTTGGTGAAAAAATTAAATTGATAATTCAACTATTTATCTTAAAAAAAACCTGAACCAAAACCAAACCCTTACAAAAATAATTTTTCCCTCTTTTCCACCATCTTCACTGAAAGCACTTGAAGACTCGAACCTCCCTCTCTCCTGTGGCTCCATTTTTCACAGTAAAAATCCCATCTTTACTCACTTTCAAAGTTCCATTTTCGATTATTTTATTAAATAATAGATTCGAACATAGTTTAGAAGCTACTGATTCAGATACTGATTATCCTCATTTAACTTTTCTTAATGTCCAGTACCCATTTTTCATCAAGGCCAGTTATCTTCTGGGTTTCTCTCAAATTCCTCAAAATCGCTGAATTTTTAATTTTAATTTTTGGGTTTGGTATGTTTAGGTATGGTAAGTGGTAGTAACCATAACCACCATGAAAATGGGGATAAAAAACCTACTATGGGAGAAGCTTCTAGGTCGTGGGGCACCACTGTCACGGGTCAATCCGTTTCGACCAGTAGTAGTGTTGGCTCTCCCTCCAGCCGGGGCGAGCAAGCTATGGCTACACCAGCTAGTGAGAATACTTTCTTAAGATTGAACCATCTCGAAATTCATGGAGATGATGCTGGATCTCAAGGTGCTATAGGGTGAGTGTTTCTTTCTTTCTATTGACACCCTTTTAGCTTGAATTTTATGATAATTCTGTTTAATGCTTGATTCAATTATTGGGTTTTTGTAAAAAGGGTTAGGGTCTATAGTATATTGAAGTAATCTGTCGAATATTGCTTTCGTTTATACTTGAATTGGTAAATTTCATCACATTATGCTATAATTCAGTATTGTTTGTGTGGTAGACGGCAAAGATTGCTTGAATTGGTGAATGTTAAGATTAATTAGTAGATGCTAGCATTTAGGTTGTCCATGGCACTTTACCTTGGACTACTAACAAAATATTCTGATGTTGCCCGGTCATACTATATTACTATGCTATTATAATGCTAGGGTATTCCGTGAATTTAATTGATTGCGAATTTCACTTGCAGTAGTAAAAAGAAGAAGAGAGGTCAACGTGCAGTGGGAGGCGATAGGAGTGGCAGAGGGCTCCGCCAATTTAGCATGAAAGGTTTTGTTTTCTTTTTTCTATTTCCTTTACCTTTGAAAGCACGCTGATGTTTTTATTTCTTCATATTTCTCATCATAATGTCATTGGTTTCATCCAGTTTGTGAAAAAGTGGAAAGCAAGGGAAGAACCACATACAATGAGGTCAGGTGGTTTCAGAAAGTTATTCTTTTGTTCATGTTTGTTTTTTATATTAAATTTATTAATGGTTAATGCATTAGTGCTTATCACTGCGTTTATATAATCTATATTAGTTTTGGCTAAGTGACCTGAATTTATCTGAATTCATTATTTCTGTTTTGTGACGTGCAAAAACTAAATATTTGTTCTTTGGTACTGCATCAAGGGACTATGTATATTGATTGATGGGTAACCATGATCCAAACTAATTGTGTTTTGATAGTTTCTTACTGCGGGCCAGTGTTGCATGCCATAGCTCTTCATTGCAAGACTATGGCATTAAGATATAGAACTTTTTCAATAGCACCCAAAAATCACCCTGTAGAATGCTCTTAATGCATACATGATACATCAGTGAAGATTAGACCTGGCAAATTGATGTCATGCTGGTTCCTTTCTCGTCAAGCCATTGTTCTATTCTGATTCCATACGATCTATAGTGGCAAGCATACCTCTTGATTAAGTAACTTTTGTCATTTTTAAGCACCAACCAAGCTCCCATTGTGATGCATAATTCGTCTACTCTTTCTAACTTTCAAGCAGAATGGTATTGTCTCTTTACATCATACAGAAATCTGATTCATAAATGCAAGTTTCCCTTATCATGCGATTGAGCTTGCACATGTGCAGGAAGTTGGACCTTTCTTTCATAACATTTCGATGGTTTGGAGAATTACTACTTTGTCTGCTTAAGGGAGTTGCAAGTTTCACTGCTTCTCTCCTGACCTGGCAACAGTCATTGGTTGCTCTATCTTTTGCCTGTTAATTGTTTATTTTACAAGCACATATCTTTATCTGAGAGGAAGTGATTCCAGGTAGCAGATGAACTTGTCGCTGAATTTGCTGATCCTGGCAATAGTGTAGCATCACCGGATCAGGTTTGCAATTGTTTGTTCAAAGCTTTCATCTTTTACCCTAAGAGTATGAAATTAATGATATTGGCCCTCTATTTTTCTTTTAATCTAACAGCAGCATTATGATGAGAAAAACATCCGTCGAAGGGTTTACGATGCCCTGAATGTGCTAATGGCAATGGATATAATATCTAAGGACAAAAAAGAAATACAGTGGAAGGGACTTCCTCGTACTAGCGTTAGTGATATCGAAGAATTAAAGGTAGCAATACAGCTCCATTTTTGTGTCTTTTTATGTGGGTTTGATATGCCATTTTATTAAGGATCTAATATTGAGCTTAACAAGTTCTTCAAATGTAAAAACAGACTGAACGTGTTGGACTGAGAAGTAGGATTGATAAAAAGGCTGCCTATTTGCATGAATTGGAGGAGCAGGTAAGAATAGCCCACGTTTCACATTCCACATGTTTGTAAAATTGCTTTCTGCATGCAATTAGGTTTAGAGTTCTATTTTTTTCTATTCATCATGTACTTGTTTTGCTTCTCAGTTTGTAGGTCTTCAGAATTTGATACAACGAAATGAGCAACTGTACAGCTCAGGGAATGCTCCCAGCGGGGGTGTGGCCTTACCTTTTATACTGGTGCAGGTTCGTTATCTTCTCAAGGAATTAAAAAAAGGAAGTTAATTAGAACCTTTAGTGATCGGCTTATATGCTATCATGTGGAATCAACATACTCAACAGATACAAAGTGCTTTTTTTAGTTATTTGGAATCTTCCATTAATCGTATGACGTCCTAATTCTCTTCTCTTGTCATCTTAATATTGTAGACACACCCTCATGCAACTGTTGAGGTTGAAATTTCGGAAGATATGCAGCTGGTGCATTTTGACTTTAATAGGTAAGATTTTTTAGCAATAATCATAACTTAGCAACATCCAACAGCATTTGGTGGGAATTTTGAGTGATTACCGTATAGAGTAGGACATCTCATGTTTTGATGATAAACCGCGGAATGCCAAATACAGGGAAAGGACGTAGTCTGGGTACAGGGGTAAATTCTACAGTTTGATAGCAGCCTATTGACCAAATGCTAAAATAATCTTTTTGATTCTTTGCTTACCTTATTTTTCTTCCTTTTCATACTTATTGATATTCTATTTTACAGCACTCCATTTGAGCTCCATGATGATAATTATGTTCTCAAGGCGATGAAATTCTGCGAGAGAACACAGAATGATGAAAAGACACACAATTTTTCTGCAGATGGTGAAGGTTCTAGCATGTCTGCAATGTACAAACAACAGATCCTTCCTCCCCCAAGGACAAGCACACTGGGTAGGCTTCCTATATCCCCGCCTCTTCCCGGAATACTGAAAGCACATGTTAAGCATGAACATTGATAATTCGGTTTCATGTTAAACACCAAGAGCGATTTATTTGTACATTGTGTAAAGTAATTTGCCAGGAAAGTGGTGTGTAAGATCATCGTCACCAAGAGCGGTCTATATGCTAACCCCACGATATGCCCTAGTAGCGTCCTTGCTTCAAGGGGCATCTTTCCCGGCAAGTCTTGAGCTTTTACAGCTTCATAATTTGCTCATGTATTTGTTTTATTCTATCTCTCCTCTTTTTATCCCCCCCTATGTAGCAGAAATCAGCTTTATTTGTATTAGACTATAGAGAGATTGTAACACCTCAATTTAGGGGCTAAATATTAAGAAATTATAAAGTGGCAGATTTAATTGGTATTTTGAAAGAAACAGTGGGTTAAATTATAAGATTTCAAAGTTGACAGACCGTTATAAGAAGTGAAGGAAGTTCAGTGGCTAAACTTTTGGTTTAACCATTTTTATTTATGAGATGATATATACCCTTATTCCCGTATGTTTCTGATTTTTTTTTTCATATTTTTCTCTTCATCAACCCCTCTTTAAACTCCGATCTACTCGTCGTCTGACCTCCGATCGACGAGTCGAAACCACCATCGTGTTCGTTGTCGAGCGAGAAACAAAACCCTTCAAACTTTTTGTCGTGAATTGTCGCCGTTCGTCGTTAATTTCAATCGGAAGTATCGTCGGTAATAACTCAATTTTAATTGGTTTTTCGTTGATTCACGACGATCCGATGATCCGTTTACGACACCTCTCGCACCATCGTGTTCCTTGCATCATTACGAGTTTGCCGGTGTCATCCTTGGTCTCCGTCGACGGCGGCGCGTGAGGAGGTGAAGTGGTCAAAGTTTACGATTTGTTGAAATCGAGCTCTCCGCCGTTCAAAATTGTGAACTGAGCTTTGTAAGTATCTCGAAATCGCTCAAAATAATTTTTAGAATTTTTTCCGAAAATTTAGCACATGCGCCCCCACGCGCCGCCACTGCGCGTGGGGAACGAAAAAGTGATTGGTTTGACCGGTTTTGGAATTGTTTTGACCGGTCACAACCCGACCCGACCCGACCCGTTGACATGACCCATTGACCCGACCCGACCCGTTGACCCGACCCGTTAACCGTTGATCGACGTTGACCACTGTTGACCAAAACTTTGACTAGCTTTGACCGGGCATTAAACGACCTTTGACTTTGACCGAGTATACCTATCCTGACATTTTTCTACGTTCTAAATCCGATTCCTCTGTCCGTTTTTCGAAATTCGAACCCGAAGGCCTCAAAATTGCTGGTCAAATCCGTTGACTTTGATTTTGACCGAAAATTCCAAATTTCCGAAAAGTCATATTTTATGCTTTCGACGTCCTGAATTTGAATCCGAAGTCCGTTTCGCCAAATTCGAACCCGGTAAGCTGTTTTTCACTGATTTATCACCTGATTTGATCCGTTTATCGCAATTAAGCTTCGTTTCTAATATAATTTATGTTGATATGTATCTGAGGAATTATTGGAAGTTGAATTTATGATCAAAGGCGTTCAAATGAAATTTTTATGGTCGATTAGTATTGTACGGAAATCGAGGTAATACTTTACTACCTCTTTATGCTTTATAGAACATGCTGGTATTGGTAAATGCATGAATGAAAATGTTTGGTCTCATATGTGTAATTAATGAAGATCTACATTTGATACGAATACGGTAGCAAGTAGGTAACTGAATATGGCTCAGATGACTATTTTAAGAGATTGAGGAATTGTTAGAATTAAATTACAAGTTTGTTATTGGTGATAAAGAAATCAACCCTGAATTTGTAACTTATATTTTATATCATCAAAGGTTAAATGTTAAAGGTACTTGGATGAGAAATTATGCGAATACTCCGATAGGGTAAAATTACAAAAATACCCTTAAGTTGTAAGATGTCAAAAATTGTCCCTGGAAGTTGATTAGAAACTCTGAAAGGATATATTGATATGATATAATTACAGATGTGCATAAGAAATAATAGTTTTGTTTATAAAATTCGGATAACGGGTTTTAACGCCAAAAACGGTTTGTGCAAGATACTAAAAGTTTATTAAGGAATAATTTCAAGATCGGAGAATGTTAAGGAAAGCAATTGACCATAGGAACTTTAAATTATAATTATTTTCGTTAAGAGTTAATATCGAAGTTATCTGGTTAAGAAATTACGGAAATGCTCTTGAGATGTAAAATAGTCCGAGTTGACCCTGAATTAGAAAGTACTTTAAGGATTTGTACTTGATTTGATTAAGTACGAATTTGATTGTTAAGATCCTGACTTACTGTAGAAAAATTCTTGATATTTCGTGGGTGAAAATATGAGAAGGCACTTGACCCGAAAATATCCGGGTTATGAGTAAATACTTGAAGAATAATTTATTGGGGGTATTATGCTATCAGAATTGTTCGAAAGAACTGAAATAAATGATAAGATTGAATTTAATAGTAAGATCAGACGTAATAAAAGGATTAAAATACACTGAATATGTAAAATGACCAAAATACCCCTGTAATAGAAATGTCCCAAGAATATCACCAAGCTCAGGAATGATTGGATATACTCGAGCTCTAAAATGAATGGAATAAAACTGAACATCAAAATTACCAAAATACCCTTATGGCCTATATTAAGTAAATGTCTTGGATTAATTAAGGAATCTAAATAAGCATAGGTGTTTTATTATCTTTAGAAGTTATGGAATAACTTAAGTGAGTAGATCAACCCTAAAGCTATATCAATACCTAAACGACATAGATGTTACTTGAATGTGTGTTCGTCTTCTCAAGTTTGGCTCGATGATAAATTTTGGAAGTATTCAGCTCAGCTCAACTCTAGATAGCATTCAGTAATAAGAATTGGACATTTGTTCGACAAATCAACCAAGAAGACCAAATTGAATGGAACGGAAGTACAATATGTATCTGAAATTCAGGAACGTTTGAATTACTCTGGAAAATCCCGAAGTAACTGGAATATACTTGAATGCTAAATGAATTAAGTAACCTAAATGACTAAGGATTAAGTAAGTGATTAGGATAAGCTTGGAAATTCGGATGAACTTACATGATGTATCATCCCTATGGATTATGAACCATAAATCAAGTACGTCAATATTTCATGGTATCGTGGAAGCATGAAAAGGAAATAAAGACCATTAGGATATCTGTTCGTCTCCTTAAGATATGTCCAGTGATGACTCAAAAGTTGATTTATGGACAATAATTGTTGGTATTAAAGAGTGAATACCTGGTAGGACAACGAATGGACCGATCAACATGCATTAGTTTTGGGAGTTGTTAAACTTGAGTTATTTCAATAATACGATAAATCAACGCCGACTGTAAATGTACTGAATCTTCATTTCTTCCTTATCAACTCAAGTTATATTCTGAATAACTGATGATTCCGTTAGTTATTGAACTATTCCTATAGTGGTTCTAAATTCCGACATTCTATCGGTAAACTGAAGATCATTGTTTCTCTGCCCAACAAGATTATTCAGTATCTCTGAAGAATATCTGATAAATATTTTGATCCTCTAGTGTGTTCCACATGTACTACATGACAGTTTTATATGTTTCAAATGAGTTTAACGAAAGTATTGATTTACTGGTTTATGAACCATGGCAACATGGTATGTGATCTCCGATTACGGTTTTCATCGAAAAGTATGAATTGTTCATGATTTATGAAATAATGGAATTTAATGGTTTATGATTTATGGTTAACTGAAATGTGTTATTTGGTTTCCTGTTTTCACTGGAAAATATGAATTGTTCCTGATTTATGGAATCATGGAATTTACTTGGTGTGTAGGTGGGTGTAAGGTTCTGTGGAACCTACACATTATGGAGTGTTGGTTGGAGGGAATAATATATTTTTTTATAAACGTTTTATGAGAGGGTGTTGTTGGAGGAAGTTACTGTTACAACAGACTTCTCTGCTTTGTGCTCAGGGTAAGTCCTTACTTGGTATGTAGGTGGGTGTATGGTTATGGGAAACCTATACATTATGGAGTGTTTGGTTGGAGGGATTAATATGGTTCTTGAATAAAAATATGTTTTTAAACTACTATTGTTTAAAAGAAAAGATATGTATCTCTTCACTGGTTTTATGGGAACACACTAGATAACCTATTCTGATCTCCTGAACTTAGTCTTTTGAAATACTTATCTGAATTGAAAGCCCATTGTCCGTTATCATCTGAAACATCAGTAGGATCTCCAATCAGCATAAATATCTGTAGATGTTCGGAAATAATAAGAAAATATATGTTTATCTGTATCTGCATGTTCATCAGCATCATCTGGTAGTTCTGTATTACTGAGCTTTTCGAAGCTACTCATTACTCAACATTGCAGGTTAAAAGAATTGTACCAGTGCAGCTATCGACTTCAGTAAGAGAGTTTTTCCGGCGTTGCTTGCTGAGTATGGTACATGTGATTAGGGGGCATGTAATTGTAATTTGTTTTACATGAGTCTGAAAATCTATTTTATTTCTTCATACTGATAAATCATTTTAAAGTTACATGTTTTAATAAAAGTTTTAAAATTTTCTACTATTTTTACAGTGGGTCGCTCCAGTGGCCCTAATGTGACACTCCAGATCGGATCGGGTTATCCGTATCGGTCTGAGGGGGTTACAGAGATTGTTCTCTGCATAAAGAATCTCCATATAGAATGAACTAGTTTCTAAAATTCTTTTTATTTTGCTATATTATTTTGTTGTGAATTTCAAGTACTTAATCCAAAACTTGCTAATTTATTGTAATAAGGCACATATGTGGTCCATGATTTCCTAGTAAAGTAGGATTGAAAATTCAGGAGAATAAAATATTAATAGAAATATTTCTTAAATGATATTTATTTCAGCTATTTAGCAGAGAAGGATCATAAAGAGTTTGATTCGAAATTCGAAATTTGTTGACTTTAGTTTTTATTTGTTCATATTATTGAGCTTTCAATTGATTCAACGTTAATATTAAATTTTAATTTCAATTTCAATTATATTATTGGATTGTTAATTTAACAAGGGTACAATGACATGAATGTTAAACAAAACAACGTGATTATTCTGATGTCCAAAACAATATTATTTTATTAGAGGACTAGGCCAAAGGTTCTTAAGAAGAAAAGGTCGACACCTAATTATTATACCAACTTAAAATTTGGGTACGATTTTAACTAAAATAATATATATGTTAAATTGTAGTTGAAATTAATTTAATTTATTAATGATATAACTTTATAATATTTATAATTTAATTTTATAAATTAATTGATTTTATAAATAATATTTATAATGTATTTTAAAAATAAAAGTTCATTCATAATATAATATTTGTATATATTGATTTTATAAATATCATAACAAATTTATATATAATGTTTTTCATGGTGATTTTCTTATAAAGGATTTCTGTATAAATATTTGCTCTTTCGATCACAAACCACGAAAGCAAACTTCACAAAAGGAGGGAAAATTGATTTTTTTTCAATGAATTTTGATTGAATATATTTTAGGTTTATTTGGTTTCTTCGATCTTTGTTTCTTAATGAATTTAAAAAAATATTATTAGGTTTATTTTATTATACATTTATATATCGAGTGTTTAAGAAACTGAAGATCGTTTCAATTTAGAAGGTGAGTTATTTGCTTATTGCATCATAAATTTCTGATTTTTTTTTGTTCTTAAATTGTTGGGTTTCTTCATTTTTATGTTATTTTTATTAAATTATGAGACGTGTCAACTTTTAAATTAGTGAATTTTCATTTCATTTGTGGTTTGGGTCGAATCTGGTTTGAGTTTTTTCTTTTTTATTCAGAAGTTTAAATAAAAAATTTAAGGATTTTGATTTAGTTTATATTTCTTATAAAAGTCATGCATATTTAGAAATTAATATATATTTATATTGTAAATAGTATTTTTTTTATAGAGGTGGCTGAACTTGAACAGGTTGGATTGCCCTAGTTGAGGGATTTTGACGTCGGATTAAGCCCTTGCAAGGGGGGGAGTGGCTTTGGCATATCCTTCGTCTATACGTGCTGATCAATTACTAGACATCAAAAGTGGTCCTATATTTTTTGGAATTTATAAAGGGAAAAATCCAAGAGATCCTTCCAGATTTGTATCTTGTATGTATGCATCACACTCTAATTATTCAAGTATGGGAAGCAAAGCATCATATTCAACAAGTATGAGAATCGAATGTTACTCCAAAAAACCACCACTTTTAACCCTAAAAACTCAACGGCGTCCCTACTGACCACCAAGGGTCGGTGGCGAGTGATTATTATCAGGTCAGGTGGTGAAACAGACGCATGCATGGTCCAGAAGCAGCGTCACTAATTGGCTCGTTTCTATAAAGTCCCACGTGCTTTACCCTTACATAATCACATGGATCACAGTCTACTTAGCATTTCTCCAAGTAGGAGCTAGTTCATTCAAACTCGTGCTATTATTTCTTTGCTTTGCTCGTTGATCTTCTAGCAGGAGCTGGTCTTCATAATTATATCCAAAAGGCTTTCATTTATCTGCTTTTGCACCTGCACCTCCCCTAGGCTTCGGATCTCCATGGAATGGTACCATTTGGTGACATTTTTTTGTTGGTTGGGCGGAGAGTTAGGTGCTGGTGCAGACAAATGGCCTCTTGGTCCTTGGTTTCAGTACTTTGATGCACATTCAAGTTACCTTGATTTACCATATACATGTTCCCCATATGAGGTAAGTTTATTGTCTATATACATATTGTATATATGTATGTATTGAAGGAGGATTTTATTCTTTAAGTACTGCTCATTGCATATGGATGTATGTATGTGACAAACGTCGTAATTGTCAAATAAATAAACTTAATTATCAATTTAAATAAATAAAATAAATAAAACAATATAGAGAAATAGGGTCGATCCACGGGGACTAATGAATTTCTAATTAAATCTGATTTGATCTCTAACCAGAAAATCTGCAAAACAAAATAAAAAGGGGGTTTATCGAATTTAATTGAATAAACTAAAATTAAATAAAAATAACAAATCAATAAAAATAAAAAAATTGAAAGAGATAATGATAGGAGATAGCCTCTAGCTCCACCTTGACTCGACTCACCTCAATTTAATTCTTGTTTGGATTTAACTTCGACTATCGATGTTAACGCCAATATCTTCTTCAATGCTGGAAAAGCCCGTGCTAGGATTATACGTCTCAATGAGAATCAAACTCGATCTTGATTTCCCTTATTGAATTGTGGCTAAGTTTGTTCTTAGGGATTTGAATTTGGTACAAGCTGATTCTGATCCCCAACGGTAAATCAAAACAACATTCAAGCCAAGGTGCAATCTTTGAATTAAAAGCGTAAAGAATTTAAAGATTAAGTCGTTTACCTAACATTGTTTGCCGAAAATTAAGAAAGATACCTGAAGGTATGAAGCGCTTTTCAATTCTCACAAGACGGATTGACTCATCACTCAGCTATCGGCTAAAAGATATTTAGCTAAGCACGGATTGAATCATGCTTAGCATTGTGAAAAGAAAATAATGAAAGAAAAGTAAAAAGAGGAAAGAAAAGTAGAACTTCAATAAATAACCAATGAAATATAAATTCCAATATGAGTTCAAAAGTTGAACCTAAGGAGTATTTATAACCCAAAAGTTCTAAGTAAATAAAATGACTAATTCGTAATCAAACTAAAAATCCTACCAAGAGTTCTAATAAAATAGCTAATTCCTAAATAAAATAATTAAACTAAAAATCTTAAATCTAAAAGGTTTATCACAAAAGATAAAAATAAATATTTAAGTCTTATACTTCTGGTTGAATTCTACTTCATCTTATGGATAACCTTAAACTCCAATTAAATATTCAAGACATTGACTGGACCATCGAAATTTGTTACTTTTTGGGCTAATTAATCCAATAAGGCTTCTGTTCAAAATAAATCCAAAATAAAGATAAATTTACAATATCCAATTAAAAAATAAGGAGTAAATAACAATAAATATATGCAATATAAAACACTCATCAGCATGCATGCGGTTGAATTGAAATCTGTACGTAAGGCAACAGTTTTCTTAATTTGCATGTTAGTAATTAAGAGAGAGATTACGAAGAAAAAATCAGTAACACCGAGCGCAACGACAAGTAATGATCGGTAAGGTGGTGGACAGGTGAAAAATGTTGAATGTGGTTAAGAACAAGTCTGAACAAAGGAAAATTGTTGAGCTCTTCTCAATATCATTATTCTTAGTAGAGTTGTTCTTTTGAAAGAAATCAGCTGACCCTATTCCCATATATAATGGGGTGAGGGGAGGTAAGATAATAGGCTACCCCAAAGCCAGGTTGAGTACAATTTAGTAGATCATGGAACTCTAAACTTTGAGACATGTCTACACTACCCTTAGCACTAAATAGTTAGATAAAAGAGTAAGTTTTTTGAAAACATATGTGATGACCTTGTATAGATTATTATATGTATAAATCTTTCATAAATGAGTTTTTAATCTTGTTTGAAGCCTTCAAATTTATAAAACAACAAGAATATCTTCATGTCATTAAAAGATTAAAATACCCTTAAGGTTTAATAAGTGAATTTGGAGCCCTAAGCTTTGGGTAGAAGATCAAAATACCTCTATTACTTATTAGGTGAGCTTAAGGCTCTTATAAATTTTAAAATAATTGAAATACCCTTATATGTTAAAATGATAGAATTACCCTTGAGTATAATAAAAATGACTAAAATATTATTATGTTATGAAAATGACTAAAATCACCCTTAGACTAATAAAGTTGATTATGAGTACTTTATTTGATTCGATAGGTGTGTTTTAATTTGTTTTGATGGTATTTATAATTGTGTGTGAACATTCAGTGATTATTTTATAATGTTAACAACCATGTGTCGTATTGGTGGCATTTCAAACAAATAACAATTCGACCAACTACAATTAACTTAATGTTTGGACCTCGTGGTACGAGACTATTCAAATACCTAAATTTTAATATTTGATCTAGATCGAGGCTATGAGTGTATGAATATTCGATATTTTATCTGGATTAAGACTTTGTGTAAGTGCATATACTCAATATTTTATTTGGATTCAGTCAATGAGAGTGAGTACTCAGCTTCTAATGCGCACATGCACATATTTATCGATTAAAATGCATGCTTCAATGTATGTGTCAAATCATATAATACATTGTTGATATTTCATGTTATGTTTATGTGTTGAGTCAATCGAACTAATGGAATGTTAAAGAGGAGGGTGAATTAGGAATTAAAAGATCTATGGAAGCTTTTTGCAAGAACATAAAAAATTGACACAAATAATTTTAGAGTGGTTCAACTTTCTCAATAAAGTTTACATCCACTACCTTGGCTTTCACACTAAGGATTTCAACAATTTTAGAGTGATTCAACTTTCTCAATAAAGTTTACATACACTACCTTGGCTTCTACACTAAGGATTTCAACAAATTCACTAATTTGTTCAAACCTTTTAGGACAATATATAACCTTACAACACACTTAGACTTATACCCCAAAGTCTCAAGTGTAAAATCCTTCCCGCAAGAAATTACAAATAGCAAACTATGAGAAATCCCTTACAAGAAATGTGTTTGCACAATTCAAAAAAAAAAAACACACACGTAGGAGAATGAAACAAAGAATTACACAAGTGTTATTGAAAACAAAATGAATATTTAAGAATGTTGACTTGA